TGGGTCACCTTCTGATAGCCTTCGACGTGCCGAACGGACTCTACATTTCATCAGTGATCATCGGGTTCTGCTTTGGCGCGCAATGGCCTCTGCTGTTCGCCATAATTTCCGAGCTCTTCGGGCTCAAGTACTATTCAACGTTGTACAACTTTGGCGGTGCAGCGAGCCCAATTGGGCTCTACATTCTGAACGTGAGGGTGACCGGGCACCTGTATGACAAGGAGGGTCTGAGGCAACTTGCAGCGGCGGGGAAACCAAGAATTAGTGGCCAGGAATTGACTTGTACAGGGGGCAGTTGTTTCAAGTTGTCTTTCATCATTATCACTGCAGCCACCGTTTTCGGTGCCATAATTTCACTCATCTTGGTTGCTAGGACTATTCCATTCTACAAAGGTGATATATACAAGAGGTACCGTGACCAAGCTGAGGAAAACACAACAACCGCCACGACCACCGAGATGAAGGTGGTCGAAAGCGGCGGTGAGAAAAGACAAGAAGCCGTGGTGGAGTAATGAAGGAGATTGGAGAACGTACTACTGACACGTCAGCGCGTAAGTTAGATAGTGATGAATTCCCAGCCCCACGACATGGATGGCAAACCAAATAAAAGTCTATACAGTGATTGGAAATACAAGTAGTAACAGATAGACTGACTCGAAGTAGAGTTGGGACCACTTTCTTTTCTCTTTCTTAGAGTACTTCAAAATTCCAGGGACTGAAAATTAAAATATAATTATTCTAGGCTGTGTATAAATACATACAGCTGCCACTTTATTCAATGAAATACGTATTCTTCTTGTGGCTACAAGCAGTGGATACTCTTCACCCACGTATACATTAGGAATGGTAGAAAACTCATCTCAACTCGTTTTGGTTCGCCTCGGTGGCGTAATCAAAGCTGGAAATATTGCCTCTTCTTCTCAATGGTTGGACTCAGTTGACGGGTCAGTCAGTTACATTTTTTTTTGTTTATATATATTATACATTTCAAAAATACGGAGAGTTAAATGAATACATTTTAAATTTTTAATAGATTATTTAATATTTTGTAATTACATAAATTTAAATGATAATATTTTTATATATTAAATTGCTATATCATAAGTAATACTATGAATATATCATATTAATTTTAATTTCTAAATTAGAGTTAAATATGTTTTAATAATTTTAAGTAAAAATTAAAATTAGTTTTATTTTAAAAAATTTAATTAATTTATATTTTTTAAAATATGTGAATTTAATTATTTCAATTAAATTTTATTACGTATTAAATGTGATTTTTAGTTAATATTAAAATAAAAGTATGGCAAATAATTCAAACAATTTAAACATGATCATAAATACATAAAATAAATTTAATAAAATTTTGTTATGAAAAAAAAGAGTTAAATACATGCTTATTTTAAATTTGAAAATTGAAGACTAAATTAAATTAAAATTAAAAATAAATTTAATTCTAATTTTCTCTTGAACTTACTAAGTCAATTAAGTATTTAATCCTTTAAATTATATTTTATTTTTCTTAGAAGAAAAACATACTGAGAGATATGTGAAGTTTATCTCTTACCCGTCAATTTGATAAGTCGTGTATCTTTTCCCGCTAATTCATCTCTTCCCACCAATGTGATAAGTCAATGAGAATGGATGAAAGTGATTTCACATTTGAAAATAGCAAACAAGTTTAGAAATCAGTTTAAAAGTCATATCTTTAAATATAAATCTTATATTAAATATTTTCTCACTGATTTTAATTTTTTAATCATTTGTGAAGCAATAAACTAAACAAAAACTAAAACCAACTATCTTACCCAATAAAACTCTGGACAAATAAATAAAGATGATAAATGAACTTAATCTTTTGTATGAATATAAATTAAGTGACGTAATTTTTTTTAATTGAATATAAAGACAAAAATGGGTATGTAAATTCAATTTTAAAATATCAATTAATTTTTAAACCTGTTTCAAATTTTTAAAACACTTTCAAATTACTAAGTAATATACAAAATTTATATAAATTCTTGCTAGTCTTTAGTTTTGTAATTTATTTTTAAAGTACATATTTAATAATTTGTGCTATTTTTAATAATTATTTTACTTTTTTCTATTATTATTTGATATTTATATTATTTTTCTACATTTGTTACTGGAAAAAAATGTGAATCATTTTAACAAAAATCAACAGACCACAAATTCCTTTTGTGTTTCAAATAATCAACAAAAAATGTTATATTTACCAAGAAGGGTAATAACATAAGAATATTCCAATAAATACTTAGCCAAAACAACAGAGAAAACTAAATATAAGATGTGTATAAAATATTTTCTTAAAACTAACTTTGTTGTATATGTTTCTCTATTATTTTAAAATGTTTTCAAATAAAATAAATATTTAAACTATTAATCACAAACTTATTGAAAAGTAATTAATAAATAGGTTTTTGAATTATGAAAATTTTAATATATTTTAAAAAAATTATAGTTTTTTAAACCTGTTATGTAGTAAGGATATTTATGTAATAACATAAATATCTTAGATATTTTAGACAGTTAAGATATTTATCAAAGCCACTAACCACATTTTTAGGTAAGGTGGTTATTTTTATTTTGCTTATAAATACAGTGACAGGACCAAAGTCCAGGTACGTTCTCTTTATGCTCTAGAGATCCTGAATAATATTTTATAGAGCAGTATCGTAATCATTCTCTTGAGAGCTTCAGCTCCATAACTCACATCAAGCAACCCAGACAGTCAAGAGCAACAAAGACACACAAGAAAATGTACACCGAAACAAAACCTTTAATGAGTTATACATCATGATAAAGTATACTATATTTTGTGACAGGTTCTTTTAATTGTCAAAGTATGATACTTGATCATAAATTTAAAGCGAATTTTGGTTATATTTTTTTATTATGAACTAAGTAATTTTTAGTTATAGTTTTGAATAGTAAAAACATACCAAGTAAAAAATAAGAATATAAATGCACTTTATCACAAATGTCAACCAGTGATAATCTTTTTTCTAACAAATTTAGCAACGTTTAAAATATAATTTTTATAATTTATTATCTTTGCCATTATAAACGTGATATACTTTTATCAATACAGCAAAATTGATTTAAACTTGTAAAACGGTATTTCTTTTAACCGGCAAAGTTAATTAGTTCAACACTTTATAACAAATAATAGTGTACTTCAAAACTGTTGTTTCAAAAAAAGCATTAATTGTTTTTTACTGTAAATATGGATACAAGTGATTAATCATAGACTCACAAAATTCAAATACATACAAGCATAGTATCGTATTAAAAATACTTAAATTTAATTATTTTGCATTATGATAACTCAATAATTTGTTTTCTTAATTTTGAGTTGGAAGGAAATAATTAATAACATCAATACAGTTGTTGCGATATTTGATTGACATAATTAAGATTAATTATCATAAATATAAGGTATTCTTCGTTTTAGAATTTATGTTATATCAAAATTTTGTTATTAAAAGATTTTATAAAAGGTGAAAAAAAACAAAAATATTTAAATTGTATTTAATTTTAATTTTTAAGTGATGTAAAAAAATTATTGAATGTAATAAAAAAAACTTGATTTTGACTTATTTTATTTTTTTGCTTATATCAGCTTTTAAACACATTATAATTTTGGTTTTGCCTTACTAGAAAGGAGACTAGAAAGGAGTGCAGTTCCAATTTTTTTTTCTTCAATTTCTCTATCTTTTTTATTTGTTCACTTTTTGTATTTTCCCAAAATAATTAACGTAAGTATATCTATTTTATGTGGGCGGCCCAATTCTTTCAAAATTGATAGAGGCTTTTGCCTTTTACATTTTTTTATATCTTTTTGCACCTTATTTATTTTAAAATGACCATTTTATCATTTCTATTTCACGACTGTTGTGATTTTTAAATTAACATTTTATTATTTCTATTCCATACAGTTATGATTTTTAAATTATCTTTTAATTCTCTAATGTATAAGTTTTCTAGATTGAAAATTTTGAAAGTTTTCTGGATAGAGTGCTCTTAAATGATAATTCAAGTTCCAACATAATTTTGGATTATAAGTTTTAGAAAGCAAAATATAACCTTGTGAACGAGATCTACGGTTAGAACATAGTAATATCCGGATTGTGAAAGTTAAAATAATATCGTGGGAAGACTTTTATATTGTGTCATAATAACATAGTATATTTTGAATTTGATATTTAACTATTTAGAAGTGGTATTTTTTATTTTTTTTACTTTTAGATTGATTAATTCAATATCAATTTATTTCATTTTCAAATTTTATAATGTTGAAATTTGAATATATATATATATATATATATATATATATATATATATATATATAATGCATTTTAATTTTCAAAACTACCTGAGTATTTTTCGGGAACTCATTTTCATCTCATTAAAAAAAATGCACAGTACAATTAGGATTATATCACGAGCCACCAGTTTTTCCTTTTGAAATATTAAAAAAATAAAAATAATAGTAGACATTGGGCTTTTCAAATTCTACAGATAATTTATGGTTTTATTAATTTATAACTTAAACAATATTATTTTGGATTATTCTTCACAATGGAGTGTTTTTCTTTATACTGAGATTTCAAACTTATCCTATTCTAACTGCCAAATGTATTATGTGAAATATTACAATTAATGTTTAAGAGCACATTTCATAATTACGCTAAGACTTTAACCACCGTTTGGGATTACTTAATTTAAAAGATTTATAAATTGGATAATATTTCAAGAAACCATTAGGGTTAAAGGATGAAAAGGAAGAAGTCATAATTTAGAAATAAGTGGGGTGCAGGAAGAAAAAAGTGGTGCAAAGAGCAAACAACAGAAACCCAATGCCTCCTCCCAATTTTTGCAAGTGATTGTCAAATATAGAGAAAACTGCACCTTTTGCATTTATCAATCTCACTGTTATAATTTATAAAATAAAAAGTATAAACATAAATTCATTTCCAACTTTTTCCCGATCAGTGACAGTCACACTGTTCTTGCTTCATCCTCTCTCTCTCCAGTTATCGGAGCATGCAAAGGCATCAGTCTCAGCATTTTCGGTAGAAATGACGAACAAGGGCAAAGGAAAGGGCAAGGAGGTCGCCGGAAAAGCTTCGACCGGCAAGCGCAAGGCCAGCTTCGATGATGACAAGACCGGTGGCCGCTTCAAGTCAGCAGCCATGAAGTTTATCGATGACGCCGCTGACGTTGATGACAGCGATGACAGCGACGACAGCGATTTGAGCGAAGAGAGTGATTTCGGCGACGGTACATAATGGAATACCCTTCTTTCTCTCATGCTCTTACATTTCATCGTTTGTTCCTCTCTCACGAAAATGGTTAGGGTTTCGGCGTCATTTCTGTGTTTAGTTAAATTTCATGTCCTTATTTGTTCTGGACGTCTATATAGGGCTTTTAGTGGCTTCATTAATGAGAAATGTTTGAGTTCTTTATGATTTTATGGTTTTGGAGTTCATCTTTTGTGGTTAGAATTTCCCGTGGTACCGTACACCTTCTAATTTTTTGTAACAGATTCTTCTGACGAAGCTTTTGATTCCTCTCCGAGAAGAATGAGCGAACCAGGCCCGAGCAATTTCCCGCGTGTTCCTAAAGAGGAATTGGTGGACGAAGAAGAGTTTGATAGAATATTGGAGGAGCGCTACGCTGATCCATCTAGATTTATCAAATTTGCTGATGAGTTTGATGACAAAGGCAACAACTCAAATTCTATTCATGACGCGGTCATGGAATTAATGCCCAACATCTGGAAAGTCAAATGCACTGTATGATACCTTGAGCTCGAATCTATGACTTTGCTAATATTTGTTTCTTTTAAATTTCTCAGTTAGCGGAGTTTTTCACTTTTGCAGCAGGTTGGCCGGGAGAGGCTTTCAGCTTTGTGTCTGATGCAGAAGTTTGCTGATTTGTTTTCTTTGGGTACTGTCTTGAAGATAAAATCTGCTTTTGCCGTAGATCATATGAAAGGTTTTGTATACATTGAGGCTGAAAGGCAGTGTGATATAAATGAGGTGATCTCAGTACTTGGTATTTTTGTTTGGTTTAATTTTATTGCTTGGCATGGTTTTAAATTGCGGTCTCGGCAGGTTTTCTATTCTTTGAGTAGGAATTTGCAGACTAATGTGGCTGAAATTTTGTCTAGCACTATATTGCTAGTTTTCAGGTGAAACATTTCTACCATAGGCTGATTCTGTTCACATTTGTTATTAATTTATGGTTTCAGGCATGTCAAGGGATTCCCGGAATCTATGTTACTCGAGTAGCTCTAGTACCAAATAGTGAGGTCTATCATCTTTTTTCTGTTAGAAATAGAACCCCTGAAATTTCTGAGGGTAAGTGGGCTCGAATAAAAGGTGGTAATTACAAAGGGGATTTAGAACAGGTACTGCATGATTGCAAAAATAATGTTTTTTGTTTTATTTTTGCTATTCAACTTGTGGAATGCATCGTTCCTTCTATTAATTATGGTTTTTGTAGGTGGTGGCTGTAAATAATACCAGGAAAAAGGTTACAGTTAAGCTCATTCCAAGAATTGATCTGCAAGCTTTGGCTGCCAAATTTGTAAGGAGACCTGTGTCCACTTGATTTGCTACCCATTTTTTTTAGGCAATTAATTAATTAACTTTGATTATGCTTGTTTTGTTTTAGTTGCTGTATATATGATATATCTGCTGGTAATGTATTTATTGTCTCAAGAACTAATGTTAAAGTATTACTTTTTAATTAAACTTAATTTTTAATTAAACATATTTATTTATCTTTTCCTTACACTTACATTCATTCAAACAAGAATTATTTTTACTTTTACCTTATTTCTATCTGTTCAAACAAAATATTCTTCTATTTTATTTATTTCTATTTTTCCTATTTTTTTTCCTCTTTAATGTACTTGTAACCCAAACAGAGCCACAGAGTGAGCAGATTGTTGATGCATCTCTTCTCTCGTGTACAGGGTGGAGGTTATAGTCGCCAAAAGGTTGCTGTACCAGCCCCTAGATTAATCAGCTCGAGTGAACTTGAGTAAATAATACATATTCTCATATTTTGTTAACTTTTTACAGGATAGTTTTTGTTATGTGATTATTTTTCAATAACTCTGCAGGGAGTTCCGACCACTCATTCAGGTCAAGCGTGACCGGGAAACAGGCAAGGTTTTTGAGGTTCTTGATGGGTTGATGCTCAAAGATGGGTATGTATACAAGAAAGTATCTCCGGATTCATTAAGTTTATGGGGTGTTGTGCCAACAGAAGAGGAGCTGTTAAAATTTGGGAATTGTGAAAACAATGAGTCAAAAGATCTAGAGTGGCTTGCTCAACTTTATGGTGGTAAGAAGAAAAAACGTGTAATAAGACCCAACAAAGGAGGTGGGAAAGGAGAGAGTTCATCAGATTTGGGTGTGGGAAATGATTTTGAACTTTATGATTTAGTATGTTTCGGGTAAGTCCTTGTTTTACCTAGCTAACATTCACAGCACCATATGAATTATTTTTCTATCGTACTTGCTTTGCATGCCCTTGCCCAATCCCATTGCAGTACATTCATGGTATTGGGAGAACCATTTCTCTCGTTCACGCACACATGCACTTAAATGATACATGCAAATACACACGTTCCCATGCCTGCACATTTCTAAACATGGCTTCCTGAAGAACCTTTACTGTTTTTCAGGAAGAAGGACTTTGGTGTAATAGTCGGCATGGATAAAGATGATACTTACAGGGTACGGCGTTCACCTTACGCAATTTCATTTGTTCTAAGCGTTTTGATTTGAGGCCCTGTTATCTTTTACAAGTACATTTCTAATTTGCCTGGCTTGTATAGATTCTAAAAGAGAGTTCAGATGGACCTGTTGTTATAACTATTGAACGAAAGGAAATAAAGAGTGGGCTATTGGATTTGAAACTCACTGCCTTTGATCAACAAAATAAGGCTATATTGGTTAATGATACTGTCAGGGTTCTAGACGGTCCATCTAAGGTGTGATTCGTATTTCTAAATATGAAGATTTCTAGTTGTGGTATATTTGGGTTTTTCATGCCTTGCATGATACTTTTAAAAACTGTCATGTCTTTTTTTGTAGGGTAAACAAGGCATTGTTAAGCACATTTATAGGGGAATTGTCTTTTTACATGATGGAAATGAGGAAGAAAATGGAGGTTACGTCACATGTAAATCTAATATGTGTGAGAAGGTCAAGCTTGATGCTGGTGATTTCAGTGGAAAGGTTTGAAATCTTTCTAGTATCCTGCCATGTACAAACTGTTGAATGATTTCATCTGAGTTTTTATGTTTTGAATGCTACTTCATACTCAGGATAGTGAACCAGGTCCTTTATTCTTTGAAGACCAACCATCATCACCAAGATCTCCCTTATCACCCAAAAAACCATGGCAAGCAAGGGAAAATAATCGAGAATGTCTGTATAGATACATGACTACTTAAAAACTATTTTAGCTGTGGATATATGCATTTATTCATTTTTCTCAATTCAATAATTGTGCATGCAGTTAACCGTGGGGACAGCAATAACATGTTTAATATTGGTCAGACCTTGAGAATTAGGATAGGTCCTTTGAAGGGATACCTTTGCCGTGTCATTGCCTTGCGCCGCGCTGATGTAACTGTGAAACTTGATTCTCAGCAGAAGGTTCTTACAGGTTTGTTTATGACGGTGGACTGTTTTGTATTTTTCTTTTGATATATTAGATCATTATTTAGAACAATTTGTACAAAATATTTTTCACAGTTAAATGCGAGCATCTTTCTGAGGTTCAGGGGAAGAGTGCTGCCATTTCATCACGGTATTTCTGATATTTACGTTAACTTTGTATGCCACAACTACATATGATTTACTTTCATTGTGTCTGTGAATATCCTTAGTTTCTCAAATGTTTTTTTTATATCAGTGGTGATCCAGATTCAAGTTCATCTAAGCCATTTGAGCTGCTGGGTGGTGAAGGAAGCTCTGGAGGTGAGAATACCTTATTCTCTACTTTTACCCTTTAAAAAGAAAAAAAAAAATCCCAATTAAATGGATTATAGTATCAATTAGCATGTGTATAGCTATCTTCCCTGTTCTCTGTTTGGCGTTGATGTTTTATTGAAACCTTAATCTTGACTATTGGAAAGGTTGGCTGAATGGAGTGGGAACTTCCACTGGCAGTGGTGGATGGAATGCTGCTGGGGCATCATCTGAAAGGTATATTTCATAGTGATATTAGTCATCTGCATATAGGCAGTATTATATGTTCACCCAATATATATCCTTGCTCATTTTGCATGATGGATTTAGTCGTCAATATTGTTCAGTAATGTAGAAATTTGTGGAAATTGGGAAGGGTTAACTCATGGCTACGGAGCATTGATGCAGACAAGACAAGGATGACTCAGATGACAATGCAACCAAGGCATATTTATGCCAAATAAATAATTATGAATAATGGTGATTTGACTTATGCAAGTATAACTACTCTACGTATTAAAACCCAAAAGCATAACCAATTTATCTAGATGTGGTAGTTAATCCAGCTTTATGTCATTCCATTTTCTCTAAATGTTCCTCTGATATGGAGTGTTACTATTTTAAATTGCCTATCTAATTGATATATTAAGGGATTAGCGTGGGTTATTGTATTTATACGTTAAAGACTCAAATATGTGGGGAACCCACCCTTGGAATTAAAGGGGGTAGAACCAAACACTTAAATTTTTAGCTGCCTGTCTCGTACCACTCGATGCAAGACTTAGGCACCTCATACTACATAAGTCATATCATATTACTACTCTAAGAGCCGATGGTTTGACAAGTTTCACTCCACAACAACTTATTTCATAACACTCCACTTAACTACCTCGGTAGTTAGAATTCTCTAATGATCAAAATCCTCTGTGAAGAGTTCTTTCTAAGACACTGACAATTAGTTCTGATACCACTTAATAAACACCCAAGAACTAGGGAATCCCACTCTCAAAAGGTAGATATTAGGGGATGAGAACCAAACACTAATACTCCATGGAGCATCACATATTATTAGATATGAAACTCAGACACTGCACAGTTCCAAGGCACCATGATTATGTCATTTTGTATTGTTTTTAAATCATTGGGCAGATTATTTTAAATTGCAAGCATCCAGTTTTCTTTCTTATTCGTGATTAGTTTTAATCCCAACTAAGTTAGTTTCTCTTTTGTCTTGCGATAACATTTTTCAGGGGTACAAGGTCTAATGATTCTGCTCCAAGCTTATTGGTATGTGTTGCATAACACAATTTATTCTTGTTTTTTTCCTATTCCTATCTGTCCTGCCTGTGCATTATCTAACCACTCTTGGTATAGTACATTCATGTACTCATTTATATCCAATTGATTTTTATATTTGTGATTTTACTTCATTTTAATTTAATAAGTATCTGTTTTTGGTTTTACAGAAGCCAGACTCTTCCTTAAATCCTTTCAGTTCCAAGGGTAAAAGTTGTAGTACGGAAATGTTTGATATGTTTTGGTTCTAGTTTAATTACTTAGCTCAACTCATCATTTGCCTCATTGCTGTTGTAATGTGTAGGTGCAGAGGATTCTCCTTGGGAAACTAAAAGTAATTCAAACCAGAACTCTCCATGGGTTGCTGCAGTGGAGAAGACTGGAGTTGCTTCTAATCCAGAAAACTCTAGTGGCTGCTGGGGAAATGGTGGAGGCAGTTGGGGTCTGGCAGAACGTAAAACTGGAAGTGTGGGTGATGACAATCAGAATAGCAATTGGAATACAACCAAGATTTCTGAAAAGGAATCTTCTGGTTGGAACAGTGTCCAAAAGTCAAATGAAACTTCATTGACTGGATGGGGTGATGGCAATGGTTTTAAAAGTGGATCAGATGAAGGAAACCTCACTTCTAATTGGCGTGGGTGGGAGTCTGGAACAAGTGGAGTCAAAGTCGGAAATCCTTCTGGTTCTTCAGATATCAATGCTAGTAAGGATGCTGGATGGAGCAATAAACCAAATAAGGAAGGGAGTGAGCCATCTGGTATGGGAACAAAAAGCAATTGGAATGCTTCCGGATATTCGTCACGTGATGTGGAGGAAGAAGGTAAAGATCAAGGTGGTTGGAGTGCAGGAAATACTTCAGACGGTCCAGCTGTGGGGTTCGGTCAAGCTGAAAATAGTGGTTCTGATTTGGGAAAAGACAGTAAATGGAATGCTGTATCTGATGGTACTGGTGCGAATCAAGGGAATGGTTGGGGTCAGAAAAGCAATTGGAACTCTGGATCTTGGAATGACTCAAATGAAAAGAAATCTACCAGTGGGAATTCTCACTGGAGTTCTGGGCGTACTGAGCCTGGAAATCAAGATTCCAACTTGGACATGAAAAGCAATTGGAACTCTGGAAGCAGTGGAAACTGGGCTTCTGATTCGAAAAATAGCAATTGCAATCCTGGATCTGATAATTCCAATGAAAATCCAGACAGGGGAAATAATGACAACTGGAACAGTAATAAGCGTTTTTCGAGTGCGGGGAATGAAAGCAAGAATTCTAGCTGGAGTTCTAGGCATCCTGATACTGGAAATAATGATAGTAGCTGGGGCAAGAAAAGTAATTGGAATTCTGGATCAGGTGATGCCAATCAAAACAACAGTTGGAAAAACAATAGCAGCTGGAGTGCAGGCTCAAGCGATAAACAGTTGAATAGTGAAAATGAAGGTTCAAATGAAAATTCTAGAGGAGTTGGTGGTGGGAACTGGAGAGGTTGGAATTCTGGATCAGGTGACGCCAATCAAAACAACACTTGGAAAAGCAATAGCAGCTGGAGTGCAGGCTCAAGCGATAATCAGTTGAATGGTGAAAATGAAGGTTCAAATGAAAATTCTAGAGGAGCAGGTGGTGGGAACTGGAGAGGTGGTTACCAGGGTAGGGGTGGATCAGACAGAGGGGGCTTTAGAGGTAGGGGTTTTCGAGGTAGAGGAGACCGAGGGGGTTTTGGAGGGCGTGGGGATTTTGGAGGCCGAGGAGACCGTGGGGGTTTTGGAGGCAGGGGAGATCGTGGGGGTTTTGGTGGCCGGGGAGACCGTGGGGGCTTTGGTGGTAGAGGTAGATCGGACAGGGAAGGTTTTGGTGGTAGGTGGGGATCAGGTGGAGGCAGAGGTCGAGGAAGGAGTGATCAATCTGGTAGTTGGAACAATAGGAGGGATTCTAGTGAGGATGGGTCCTCTGACTGGAAGAAAGGTCCAGGTAATGTTGAAGGATGGAGTAATAGTAATGGATCCCAGGCTTGGAATCAGGATACTGGTGACAAAAAAAAGAAGAGCTGGAGCCAGGAAAATGCGGATAAGGAGCATCCTAGCTGGAACCGAGGAGGTGGAAGTGAAGAGAGATGGAGTTCAGCAAGTGGTGGGGCTAATGATAATAGATCCCAGGCTTGGAAACATGATACTGGGGACAAGGACAGGCAGAGCTGGAGCCAAGGGAATGCAGATAAGGAGAGTCCCAGTTGGAACCAAGGGGGTGGAAATAAGCCAAAGTGGAGCTCAGCAGATGGTGGAGCTAATGATTCAGGCTGGAATCAAGGAGGTGGAAGTAAGAAGAGCTGGAGTTCAGTAAGTGGTGAAGCTAATGATAATGTATCTCAGGCTTGGAACCAGGTGAATGCAGATAAGGATCGTTCTGGCTGGAACCAAGGTGGAAATAAGCAGAGCTGGAGCTCCGCAAGTGGAGCTAACGATAATTGGAACAGCAATGAGTCAAGACAGGCTACATGTGCTAGCTTGAAAAAATCTACAGCTGAAGAGACCAATGTCCAGGATGGTGGGTGGAACAAGGGATCTAGTTCAAACACTACTGGAGTTCTGAAGTGGGGTCAATCTAGTAGTGCTGCAGATAATGGTCAATCTTCTAGCTGGAAAGAATCAGCAGAAGGTATGGAAGAAATAATGAAAAACCGAATATAACTCCAACCAATTATTCTTCCCTTTTTGTTTATTAAGAAAGAAAAACCCGAGTTAGTGTTCGAAAGAAAAATAAAATTACAATGCGACGAATCATTAGTAATTAGGAGATAAACTACAAATTACAGCAGAATTAATCTATAATGTTTTATCAATATAAATTTGTAAATACTATGTTTATTTTCACCTTAATTCAATAGACTTCTGACTATATGGTTTTTATATGTAGGTGCAGCAGGTTCATGGGGCAAGAAAAATGACGGGGTTGTCAAAGGTGGATGGTAGTTGCTTTCTTTCTAAAACGTGATGGACCGGAGCATTTTGAAATGTAGCCAATGGCAAACCTTTTTTTTTTTTTTTGTATATCCTTATAAATCTTTGCTGTAACGTGATTTCTCCCTTAAACTAAACGAGATTGGTGAATGACTAATCCCTTCTTCCGTTTTATGCGTGATTATGTTAAAATGTTTTCTAGAATTTGATTGCATTGTTGGATTACAATGTGTTCCTTTCCGAGTCTATATAGATTTCAGTGTTGCCCCATCCTCTCTGTATTTAGATTACAATTTGAGAACAACACGGTTTTGAGAAATATTCCAGTACCATCTCAACGAAACCATTTGTATATGAAACAACATAAACACTTTATTTATATTTTAAAAAATCAATATAATAAATAGAAGAGATTTAATATCTTGTTAAGCAAATTCTATTAAAAAGGAAGGAACAACAGAGATTTGTGAAGTTGTAAAGAGAACAATACATGAGAATGGTTAATAAACTAGATGATAGATTTGTTTAAATGAAAAGGGAAACAAGCTGATGAGTTTATGCAGAATTAGAAAGGAATTCACTAAACAGAATATGGGAGGATATGTGGATTTGGAGAGATGAAAAATTTGACTCTTATACAGTTAAGTCAGCTTACATGAAGTTAAAAATATAAAGGGAGGAATCAAATTTTTTTAATCTATTTTGAAGAGTAAAGGCGTTGAACCAAATTTCATCAGTCTCTTTTAATATAGGATAACGACTAAGGCTAATTTTTAGTATTATTATATTTATATATTAAAGGAATATAGGTTTCGTGCTCAATTTTCTCTTATTCCAAAATAATTTCTAAGCTCTTAGTTAATTTTGGGCACATTGGCACAATGCATAACAGTCCACGTGGCTAACCTCGAATTTTGGCGCCTCGGGCCAGAACAACTAATTTTTGCGTTTTACAATTTTGCACCTTTTTGTTTATTATATTGATTCATGCGAGTGAAGGGCGCCTTGGACGCGAGTGGTTTTCCGCTTCATAGCGGTTATTCGCGGTTTCCACAATCCAACCCAGAAGTCGCACCATTAACCATTGGGGCTTCGGGTTCGCCAAATCCAATTTCCGCTTCCGTTAACGTTCCCAATTTCTTGGGCTTTTTGATCGTTCCAACATTCATTTCCCCCGCCATCCAAATAATTCCCAAAAAATGTTCAACAAGATCATAAAGCTCGCTCACAAGAAATGCTCCAAATTGGAATTCCCGGAAAACGGCCTTCAATTTTACGAAGTAGTCGTCAAACACGCATCTCGTAATTCCGCCGCTCCCGCCCCCGTCACCATCACCGCCCCTGCCGTCGCTCCCGCCAATTCCGACTCTCAAAACCCTTCACCCGCTGCCCCGCCTCCCAATTCCACCGTAATCGAGCCACTACTTCCACTGCGAGACGTCGACGAATCGGAACACCGAGCGCTGATCCTCCGAAAAATACAAGGGTGTTGCTTCTTGTGCGATTTCTCAGACACTGTCGATTCCGTTAACGAGAGGGAAACAAAGCGCCAGACACTCGAGGAACTCATTGAAACCATCCATTCCGGGTCCTTTGGATTCAGCGAAAATCAAGAAGACTTGATTAACATGGTGTCCGTTAACATCTTCCGTTGTCCCCCTCCATCACCTCACGGCACAGAATACCTGGAACCCGATGAAGACGACAGATATTTGGACCCGTCGTGGCCGCACTTACAGCTCGTGTATGATATCCTCTTGCGTTACGTTGTCTCACCGGAGGTTGATGTAAAGACTTCCAAGCGCTACATTGACCATGTCTTTGTGACGAAACTCATCGACTTGTTTGATTCCGAGGACATGCGAGAGCGCGAGTATTTAAAGAACATTCTTCACCGCATTTATGGCAAGTACATGGGGCACAGGCCCTTCATTAGGAATGCCATCAACGACGTCTTCTACCGTTTTGTATTTGAAACTCAGAGGCACAATGGTATTTCCGAGTTGCTGGAGATCCATGCTAGTATTATCAATGGGTTTGCTTTGCCAATGAAAGAGGAACATAAACAGTTTCTAATTCGGACTCTTATTCCACTTCACAAGCCCAAATCTCTTTCCTTTTATCACGAACAACTGACTCATTGCGTGGTTCAGTTTGTAGAGAAAGATAACAGGCTGGCTGATCCTGTGATCAAGGGGATGCTAAAGTACTGGCCAGTCTCGAATTCCCGGAAGGAAGTTCTTTTCCTTGGAGAACTAGAACTGGTTCTTGAGGCAGCTCAATGTACTGACTCTCTACGGTGTATTGCCTCTCTTTTCAGACAGATCGGGCGCTGCCTTGGCAGCTCTCAGTTTCAGGTCTGCCTTTTTATGCTTAACTTTTCATATGTAACTTGTAGCATTCTGTAGTGATGGTTCATAGCTTATGCCCTGTATTTATGATATGATGTTCTTTGCTTTAGAGAAATATTATGCCTTAGAATTTGGGCTTAATGCATAATTCAGCTTCATAAAATTGGCTTTAGGTAAGTATTGAAGCTTTATGAGGACTACATTGGTGATGTCTCTAGTTAATATGGATACATCCCTCACCTTTAGTTATAAACATTTGGAGTTTCGAGAAGGATAATGGTACTTTTAACATTTTAACATTATTTACGTGTCATTGTGATTGGTCCAAAATTACTCTACAATCAATAATAATAATCATAAACACCAATATAGACCAATAACAGAATGACACGTAGATGATATTAAAATGTTGTCAAAAAAATATTGACAAATTATGACTATCCTTTGGGGAAATAGAGGTAGCCATACGAGACCAATGAATGTCTGAGCATCTTAAATTTCGGGTACAGGGCCTAACTTAACTCAAACCTTGTAAGGACTGCATTGATCAGAGATCTCTCTCGTCAAAGTAGAATCTCAATACGCTCAGTTATGCTTAGGATTGAACATCTAGAGTATGACAGATGTAGGTGACCCAATAAAAACACCTTATGCCTAGGAATAGACATCCTAGAGCATAGATAAATAGGCATGACCTAATAATGGATCTAGAATAAATTCTAGCATCTTCTTACAATTTAGGTTTGCAACTACACAGTCCTACAAATGCTCACTTATAAGCCAAGGATTGTCTAAGCCTTATAAAGACTCCATTGGTCATGCCTCCAATTGATGTGAAATCTTAATACACCTATTCACTTCTGGGATTTATATTTGGAGCGTAGAGATAGGAGTCTCAATAACAAAATCCCCTCATGCCTATGAATAGAAATCTGTATTTGTAATACTTCTGGGGTGTGAGATCTCAGCAATATAAATATTATCATAGAAAAGAGAGGGAAAGTGCACTCTCATGTCTTGATGCCCGAAAGTGAGTATGTTCAGTTGAGTTCCAATCCCATAGTCGATTTGATGGCTCGAGAGCTTATGGTGGGTTTTTACATATCCATATTTGAGAGTTCTTTGTTACTGAAAATCACGTGTAAACATGCACACAAACAAAAATCATATATTTATCAAATTATGGGGAGATGAGAAAACAATCTGGTCTGGACATTGTTGCTATCTGTTCTTTTGTTTTTAGATTTCAATGTTCCTGTACCGTCATGTGCCCCTCCTATTGGTAAGCTATGTATGTGTAACATGATTAGCTACCTCGACCAAGGAAAATTGTCATAAGACATTTTGAATTTGGATCTAGTTTAATGGGTAATGCATTGCTGTAGTCAGATTTTATTAGATAAATAACGCTCTAATACAGTATCAGTCTTTAATAAACGATGTTTCTCGTCCTTTGATGTAGTAATGGAAAAATGTTTTTTTATTTTCTCTTGATTGCTCTCTGACAATTATTCTATCCATGGCAGGTTGCCGAGCGAGCATTTTTCTTGTGGAGCAATGAGTACTTTGTGAATTTAGTAGCCCAGAATCGAAATGTTATATTGCCAGTAATCTTTGAAGCTTTGGAAAAAAACATGAAAGGCCATTGGAGCCGAGTAGTGCAGGGGCTAACGGCCAACGTGAGGAAGATGTTTCTGGAGATGGATACCGAATTGTTTGAAGAGTGTCAAAGACAGTACATAGAGAAAGAAGCCAAGACTATAGAGTTGGAAGAGAAGAGGGAGTTAACTTGGGAGAAATTGGAAGCAGAGGCTGCACAATCCTTGAGGGAAGACATGGTTAACTAAGGTATTCAGCTTGCAACCCTTCTTTTCACTTTGGTGGCTATGCTGAAAGTTTTTCCTGAATTGGGTTATGTCACTGCTATATTTCCCAATATAGAAAGGGAAGTATGATTTTATTTTAATTCATTTTTTACTCACCATTGCCTTAAGACAATGGTCAAGGAATTAAGAGTAGAAAGTTTTATTGGAACGTGTAACATTTAATGTTACTAATATATTTACATTTTAATTTCCAATAAAAACCTTCTATTTAGTAATTCCTTGGAGTTAGAGTATAATGGATAGTAAAATCGATTTTGATTACACGGCATGGTGCTCAAGACACGCAAATTAGCAAGCTTGCGAGTCCTGTTTCTTAGAGAGCAAGGGTTTACACTGTTTCTTTGGTCTATTCCTCCCTGTCAATTGTAAATTCTCCTGTAATGTACCAAATTGGTTCAGTGTATGAAAAAATGGTGCAGTTGCCACTTCTTTTTTAGTGAACGAATGATTTTATTAATGTAACTTCATATTAAAAAAATCACTTTTTAATTTTAGAATTTATATTGTTCATATATTTTAAATCATACTTCGTTTTGAAATTCTGAATTATGTAATCCATTTTAGTTTATATTATTCTATTGTTTTAATATTTTTACTACTATTTAGAACTTCTCATGAAAAGTTGACATATTATGTTCATTGTTAACGTCAGATAATTTATCTGTCTTAACATTTTATTTTTATGTTCATTATTAAGATCAAATAATCGATCCTATCTTAATATTTTATTTTGAGTAGCTTAAATCTTAAATATAGAAATAATTGTCTAATTCGTTGTACCAAAAATAAATTATTAACAAATATATTTTTAGTTACTACTAAGATTATACTTAAAAGCATTTTCAATTTAAATACTTAAGAGTTATATTATGACTTTTCTTTTCTTTTATATAGATTTAATTATGCCAATTAGTTTAAAGATTTTTTTTTATATTTTTCTCTGATGTAAGAGTTATAAGATCTATAATTTAATGATTTTTCATCTATACTTTAATTTTTCAAAATTTAAAA